GCAGGAGGAGTAAATCCCAAAAGACAGAGATAAGTACTTGAGGTCAGAGACTGAGTCTTTTATAGTTTGTCTACATACCAAACTCATTAATATGAATAATCATCTTAGCAGTAGTGGTTGTAGTAGCAAAAATAATACAAAGGAACTAGTCTTGTCCCATGTTTTTATCGGTAATGTTCGTGATTCCTAGGATTCAGGGATGTCTTTTTTGAGAAAGAGATGTGAAATCAGGTCCTTCCTATGTTTGTTTATTTCCATTTCTTCTTCTTACCTATATAGCATACTTTTCAACCTTAAAAACTCCAATCTGTAGGGGTAAAACTATAGATAATAGGAAGAAAAGTGAAAAATCTATATATTTAAGTTTTTTCCCTGGGGTGTGTGGTGGTTTAGAATATCCTTTGACACCATCAACCTCTTTATGGTTTTATTCAGTTGATGTGGAAGGGGAGGAGAAGAAAAGAGCCAGTCCCTCTGCTGTACTCTTCTCAACAGTCCATACCCATCACGTGAATGAAAAGAACCCAAAGCCTTCACTTTCAGAACTGTATCTCAGCCCCTGGCTCCGGAAGAAAACCAGTGTGGTTCCAATGTGGGATGGGAAGAGTGGTTTGCATTGGCATCAGCCTTGCGGGTGCTTTGGGGCTGGAGCTCACACAGCTGTGGGTTACAGACGCTTGCTCTCCAGTATTAATGTGGCCAGCATGTGAAACCATGGCACCCACAATACTACACAAAGGTCCATGCCTCTGATAGTTTGAGAAATAACTCCCAGCTGAAGAAATTCTTTCTTGAAGGACTGGAATACATTCTAGAACAGAAGGTCCTCTTTCAGAGGGGTGGAACCAGGAGTGAGATGCCTGGTGATGTTGAACTGGGCACCAGAGGCTGTATGATAGGGTGTCTGCAGGCTTAGGAGCTTTAACCAAAAATAGAAAAAAAAAGTTCCTCTAAGCCTTACATTCATAAATCCCAAATTCCATGCTGTGCATGTAGCAGAGAACTTGTACACTCAAGTCATTGTGTAGTTTCTTTGGGAATGTCAAGTGCAAACCATTAGTGGTAGTTGTCTTCTGGCCTGAGACAGGGTGTGTTAGAAATGTTCCGACCACTTTTTATTTCCCTGAACTGTCTCCAAGGATGGTGGACTCAGAGGTCTCTATACCCAAGAGAAAGGAAATTAGCATGGGGTTGGGTGGTGCTTTCTTTGTAAGTTCACTAAGCAGGACATTTTGCAGGACATGGAATTTTTGTCCCTTCTTACTTACGAGGTGTGTGCCTCGTTCTAACGTATACCTGAGAGAGGGTATTTTCCACCCCTCTTCCAGTTAGTGAGATAGTTTTCTCATTCAGGTACAATTTCCAGCGAAATAGTAGCTTATAAGTATCCAGAAGTTAGTTTATTGACTCTTATAGCACTTCTGAGTACCTAATAAATAATTTATTAGTCTGATGGATATGCGGCTACCTAACTATGGGGCATGAAATATGCACTGTTTTTCTAATACACTGTAGGGAGACCTGTTTATAAAGTATTTAGTATTGGTTTTATAATGCACTGTTGACAACAGGAGACCACGAAGCTCAAAGATCAATCTCATTTTGGCCCACAGTATTAATGCTCCTTTATAAAGCTGTGTGACAGGTCACTTAGACAGTGGTCCTCACAGAAAGAACTCTGTTAAGAAGGGAGGCTGTAGTGGATGCAAGTGCAGTAGATGAATGACATTCTTCTTGTCCTGGAGGTGACTTTTGGGCATCTGCTGATGTTGCCCAGGTGATGGAGCCCATCATTTCCCTGTTCTCCAGAGGGATTCTGGACTAAAAGTGCTGAGTTCTCCTAATACAGCCCTCGATAATTGGGCAGAGACTTGGTGTGACTTTAGACCATACTTGCAGATAGCAGTCAGCAGTAAGGAGAGGAGCTTGCATATCCTCAGCTTTGTCTCAAGTTTGTTAACAAAGTGACATTCTTCCACGTATTCCACTCCTTCACTGAAATCACATGTGACATTGTGTAAAGTATTTCAATTTCTGCTTGCTTTGGGGAATTTCCTTACCAAGGAATAAATTCACGGACATTTAAACAACTACATAGTAAACACTTAGAATTGGGACTAAATAAGGATCAAATGATTTTATCCCAAATCAATCATCAGTGTTTTAATTTTCTTTTTAGGAACACCTTGTTATGGGGACGCAGTGTATTTGCAATGGTTTGCAAAGTGCCATTGCCTATGAGGGAGTCTGTGCATTAAGAATTCCTTGCTAGTTATAAGTATTCCAATTACCAAAGTGGGAACTCTGAACTGCATGATCTTGAACCCTGTCTACTTGCTTGTTACTTCTCATGCATTTTCAAGAACCAAGGCTGAATCCTTCCTGCTGTTTACATTTCTTTTAGTTTTTCATTTATTTTTCCCTGTTCAGTCCTTTTCTTCTATTTGTCCTTGATTTCATCCTGTCATGGCCCCTTGGCAAGTAACTTATCTTTTACTTTTCTGGATAATCATTCCACAGCTATCATTTATTGAGCAGTTACTATATGATAAGCATTCTGTTAGGTCTTAGATTACGAAGGATAGGTAGACTTAGTCTCTTTTAGTGGAAGAGATGGGGAGTTAATTTGGCTTTCTTACCTGAGCACTGTTAATATATGTATTTTTTTTAATGATAGAATTTTTTCTAATCTCTTTTCTTTGGTTTCTGAGGGAAAAAAAAATCTTTTCTCCCTTCAGGGGCACTTTTCATTTGTGTTCTTGATCACATTCTCTCCTAGGACCCTTTTATATCATTTTCCCTCTGGCTTACAACTTCAATATCCTTTTTTTCTGCTGGTTTCATCCCCTTTACTTACAATAGTCTTTTTTTTCCTGTAGTGAGAAACTGTCAACTCTCTAATGCAACTTCTTCTAGGTCCTGCTAACTTTTCAGATCACCTTTCTCTTAATTTACTTGCTTTCTTTGCAAAACTTCTTCAGAGAATATTTTACCTTTTCTGCCTCTTTGACTTAACAAACTGTTTACTTAACTTCTTTAGAATATGGATTTTATAAAGCTGTCAGTCTATTAAGATAACTCTTTATCACATAAAGTATAAGATATTTCAACCACATACATATATAGGAAATGGTATATTGAATACCCATTTACCCAAACTTAAGAGCTAATCATATACAAACGCATCTGAAGTATACTAGGTTACTACTCAAGTTATATTGTTTCAGCTGCCACTAAGCTCCCTGTATCATTCTTCCCCTCTTATTCCTCAGGCACTATTCTGAAAGTGGTACTTACAATCCCTATTCATTTTGCTTTGTGCTTACTGTATGTACTTTTACTTAACCACTACAGTTGGTTTTGTTACACCTTAAATGTAGTATGGTTTATTAGAACAAACATCCGACCTCCTATAAACTCTGTCTTCTCTTGTCATTCAGAACATTGGCCAATTGGTCTTCTCACTCAATACCTATAGGTGTCCCCTAAGACATTTACTTTGTTATGTCCTCTCACCTCTTATGTCTGTGTAGATGAATTCAAATCTGATAACTCCAGTATTGATCTGTTCTTTGAACATTTATAATTACCTAGTCATCTGTATGGTCTCCTGTTACCCCAAAATGAGTGTGTATTTATTCCCTCAAACTTGTCCATCCCCATTTCTTTCACTAGTGCTACTACTTCCTTTTATCTGTTACCCACATATCATCAGTCATTCTTATCCCCTTAATTTTATCCTCACAGAGTTGTTTCTATCTTGCTTCACCCCCAGCCCTATTTAACAGTAGTCCTTTTACCAGTTTATTATAACAGCTTCCTAATTGATCTCTTCCTGCCTTTGTTTTTACACTTGAGTCTGTTTGTCATGCTGTGGGCAGATAAACCTGCTCAGAGGGAGGACAGTAATGATCATACCACGCTCCTGTGGAGAATCATCCAGCACTTTTGATTGTTGGCGAATAAAAGGATAAACAGCAATTCTTCATAATTGTTCTGTTGACCACGCATCCTTACATCCATTATTTCTCTGCACACATCCTACCCTATGTTCTTCTCTTCTCTAGGAATCACTTCTTTAGGAATATGACCAGTTCTTCAGTGCCCAGAACAAAGGCTGCCTCTGCTTAGAAGCTTTCTTTTACCATACTGGCTGTAATGAATCTTTTTCTAAGTTAGAGAATTCTGTGACTTCTCTTGCCACATTTTGTTCTTATTTTTTAAGCTGATTAATTAGAGATGAAGTTTCACTTTGTAACCCGTGCTGTCCTCAAACTCATTATCCTCTTTCCTCACCCTCTGGAGTGCTGGGATTACAGTATGCATCACCATGGCTGGCATATATTCTTTTTTATATTAAGGTTACTTTTTTTGTGCATAGCTACTCTTCTGTATTAGATTGTAAACTTACTGTGAGCAGGGACTGTGTTTTAACTTTTGTTTCCCATAGCTTCTTTTACTAGGCACATAAGGCTGAGATAAGCATTCCCTAGTAGTGGCTAAAAATGTTTAAGATGACTCTCTTTATAATAATTGGAGAAAGTTGAGTGAGTAAGTTGAGCTAGGAGCTGGTGGGGGTGGCAGGGAGGGTAGCTCAGTTTAAAGTGTGTGCTTGACATGTGTGAGGTCCTGGGTTCAAACATCCTTAGCACCCCTCCCCCCATTGAATGGTCTAGGGGTATAGCTCAGGGAGACTGCTTGTCTACTGTGCACAGGCCTTGGGTTCAACCCCTAGCACTGGAAAAAGAAAAAGAAATTGAGCTAGTTAGGGCAAAAGTATATATCTGTTACCAATCAGTGAATTATTTAGTTATTTCCATTTTGCTACTTCTTTTCTCTCCAGAGTTTATTTAGCAACTGTTAACTCTTTAAAAGTGTTGGGGTGGTCAGAGGAGTATGTTAGATCTGCAGTTTTAAAATATCTGTTTTGATGTATTCAGTGCTTCTAAGTAATATTGTTTGCAGAATATATATAATTTCCTTTCCCGTTCTCTCAACAGGCACGCTTTGTGCCCACCCCACCTCCAAATCGCCTTAATTACAAATCAGAGGGCAGGCTTAGTGAACAAGACTGGCAAGCACATTTCAAGGTCCCATGTTGTGCGGTTGATCCATCTCAACTTGAGGTATGTTGTCCTTTTTTCCATTTGAGTCATTTGGATATGCTTCTGTTTTCACTGCCTACTTGAGGCCTCTCTCACCTCATTATTTTCTCTTCCACCCTTTTACTGTCTTTCATTCATCCTCATGCTTTGAAAGTCAGCTGTTTACTTGCTCCTAACATGCCTTGCCTCTGAAGAAATTGTTGTAAGATGTAGATTTTGTTGGTTGTAACTTGATTTTGATGGTGATAAACTGTCTGCCTTCTGTTGTCTATTCCTTTCTCCTCTCCTCCCTTACTTTTCTTTTCCTTTATTTTTTCTTCCTTTTTTCCCATATAATTCTAGAACTTGTTTCTTTTATCACTACTTTTAGTGGTAGTACCACTGGTACTGGTAGTAAAACTTTTAGAACTGAAGTGTAACATGTATATGAAGAAGGACACAAATGTACATACAGAGTAATGAACTCTTATAAAGTAAGCACACCCAGAGCCACCAGCATAATGGCGGTAAGCAACATTGCCTGTGCTTCAGAAGCTTCCCTTTTGCTTTTTCCCTGCCACTGTTCTCAACCAAAGGTAATCACTACTCAGACTCCTTAAGCCATTTTTAACTCGCTGTTAAAGGGTTTCTGTCATTTTCTGGATTTCTTAGTTTTGAAAACAATCTTCAAGTTCATTCAAATTTGCTTTGCTTTAACATTTTTTCATTTAAACAAATAAATATACATATATATAAATAAATGTAATAGTCTTGATTTTTATGAACACCTAAAACTTTATACTGGCATTTCACCTTTTAGGGGAGAGGTTTTTTTTTTTTGTCTTTTCTTTTTTGGTGCTGGGATCGAACCCAGGGCCTCACGCATGCTAGGCAAGCACTGTACCACCGAGCTACATCCCAGCCCTGGCATTTCACCTTTTAAATTTACATTTTGGATTTGAGAATTACATAAAAGGGAATATTTTCTATAGTGTTGCTTTTTTCTTTTCTGTGATAACTCTAAAGGCAGTGCTGTATTTATAAATATTTTTGTGCATTATTAAGCCCTACCCTGTAACACAATTTTCTTGAGTGTCTGTGAATCTCAATCTTCCTTTCTGACAGTAATTTAAATAATTATGATGATATTTTTACTGGGGCTGCCAGCTTCTCAGTCCACAGTCTTTAGAAGCAAGTAAATAAAAAAATTAATATTATCATTACTATCCTGCAACTTCATGTCATATGAAAAAGAGTTTCCCCAGTGCATCGCCTGGCCTCAGCCTTGTGGCTTTTTTTTTTTTTTTTTTCAAATTCATTTAAGGAAAGACATGACTGATTCTTTTCTTCTAGAAGATTTTCTCAAGAAACATTGACTATAGATGATGGTTGAAAGATGCCACTGTCAAAGTCATTTTTTTGTTTTTATACCAAAGCAGGGTAGTTAAAATGTTTGATCTTTTATAAGCATGAGATTCGTGCTGACCTCAGATGCTTTTGTATCTGTGAATCTTCATTGCAAGGAATTCATCATTTTCCTAACATTTTGTAAACTACCTTATCTACCACACCCTACCATAATCTTACTTTTTATGGTATATCAAAGGATTATGGCATTTGGATATTTCCTTGAAGTGTTTCAATGAAGCTGAGCCCCTGACTAGCCTTTCAGGAGATACCGCATCACACCGATTGTTTTAATTAGTACTGAGACAAGTGTCAACTGGAGCAGTTTTTCCCTTTTGCTATATAGGAGAGTGAAGCTTTTAGGTAATATTTATTTATGGAGTATGTTCATGCAACTGTTTAAGGTGATTTAAACTTGTGTCCTGTTCAAGCGTTATGTAAGGGGTTTGTATTCCTCTCTTAGTCCCATAATGAGGTTTTCGATATATAAGCTTTTCCCTTAGTGTTGACCACTATTATTTTTTTAGAATAACGGTTATTATTTTTGTCATGTGCACTGACAGGGTGATCCTGTGAGTAAACACCAGAGCATTTAGGTTCTATATAAATTTGGCAGAAGACTAGAAACTGAAGGCTTGTGTGCGTGTCTTATTTACAATTTGGACCATGCAATCTTTAGGCTCTTCTGGCTGAAGCTTCTATATGTTGAAATGCCCAAGCCAGGCTGCCAGAGACATCTGGCACAGGCATAGTTGTAAATATGAAGTAATGTGCAGTTCCAACACTGACTCTCATAGAGGAGAGAGGGGCTTGTGATTGAGACTGGATATCAGAGATGACAGCACGTGCCTCAGGTGAATCCATAAAGGTTCTGAAGTGCATTTTGAATTAGTCATTCCAAGAACTGTTAATCCAAATCCATGTCTTAAGTTTTTAGGAGAATAAGCAATAGAATAGTTGTCTCCAAAGAGGAAGACCTACAGTAGGATATAGGTGTGTTGTTCATTCACACAGACACTAGATTAGCAGCAGTTCTCATGCATGTATCACCTTTTAAATTGCAATTAAAGTCTGCTACTTTCAGGTTTGGCTAGATCATGTAATAAATTGAAACATGAAGGAGAATTGTTAAATAAGCAAATAAAGTTTTCCAGGTTCCTTAAAATTTGAATAGTGGGATCCAACTTGTACTCCAGAAGTTTTTACAAACATCAAATGTTACTGCTTGGGAGTACTTAGTTATTAAAAGATGGGTGTTTGATCCCTGACATAGATAGTCATGGAAAGACATAGGAGCCAGTTGGTGAACAAGGATTTAGGTGTAAATGTCAGGGGAATCTTAATTGTGAAGATCAGTACAGATGACAGTTAATATCAGAACTATATCTTAAGAACTACTTTTTAATCTTCCTTCCTTAGGTTTCCCCACAACATGCAGGAATAGTATAGTGACGTGTGTGTGTGTGTGTGTGTGTGTGTGTGTGTGTGTTTTAAGAGAGATGAATGTTTTACTGTCTTTCAAATTATATCTGTGAGTCAAGGAAAAACAAGCATCTTAGATTATGATGTAATTAATCTGAACACCTGAATTTGAAATTACTGCTAATTTTACTTTTTCCATATACTTTTAAAAACATTTCCCCTTAACTTTCCATAGAAAATGAAACTTTATACAATAAAGTAGGGATGGCAGTTTTCACAAGGGAAAATGGCTGCTGTCAACTTATCTCCTCAGGAATATGGAAATTTAGGTGGGTTATCTGTTCAGAGGAGGCTTCCTTTATTAATTCTCCCTCTTTTTTTTTTTTCACTTAAGACATCTGTTAACATTTCACACAGTCCAACAGATGTTGCAGAGCAAGTCCCATACTTTGTTCTGAAGAAAAAATGACATTTCCTCAATTGCTTGCCCCACCTCTGTGTCTTGAGTCCAGCCTGATGCTCCTGCATAATTTGCATATATTAAGTTATATATCTTAATGTATTATGAGTTTGAGCTTTAATTATTTGGTAAAGTTTGACCTGAGTAGAAAATAGTTTGTGTGTTGCTCTAGAGTTAACAGAAGGGAAACATTGTTTCAATTTCCCTTGAGAATGGCAACCTGATTCCACACATAAGATTGGATATCCAGTTAACATTTTTTTTCTATAAAATAAGTGAATTACAAAAGTTTGAGTTGTTTCGCCATAAGGAAGTGCTGATTGTCATGCGATGTGGAGCGTCATTTTTATTATTTTGGCAAGAACAGGGACAGTTCTGTCTTGACAAGCCATTAGATGAATACCAGCGTGTGTCACATGAAAAACCACTGATCTTTAACCCAGCTCTGTACTTAACCAAGCCTTGAAAATGAATAGTGAATAAAAGAAGAGCAAAGGCCAGTTTACTGTCATTACAGATTACAGAATCTGTTAACAGCTGCAGAACGGAACCTGGGGAATTGCAGGTATTGTCTGTAAACCAGCAGAAGTCCTAGAGATACTTTTAAAATTGTGTACACAAACTATACTTTTGCTTCATATTTGCTCAGAATTTACATTGTTGGAAACATAGCTAGAAAAATCTAAAAACCCTTGAGTGCTTTCTCAATGCAGGACATGTATGCCTTTATCACAAAACCATATGTATTTACAAAGCAGCGTCTCAATGAACTGTTTCTGCTCCCAGTTACAGAACTAACTTTTTGAAAGCCATGAGTTTTTAGAGAGAAAAGGTATGCAGTTATTTCCTTCTTTGACTTAAAACATACATACACACACACACACACACACACACATACACACACACACACATAATGTATATATACAAAGCGAAATTCTTTCACTTATTTCTTCAGGTATTGTGGCTGATTTTTGCACTAGCATGTGATTTGACTTAATTTAATTTTCTTTTTTAGAAAATACAAGGAATGGCAGAAAACCCACCTCTATACCTAAATACTGAAAAGATCAGTAACATTTTAAGCAGTCAGTTGTGGGAATTATTACTTACAGAGCTAACAAGAAAGAACACACTTTCTTACTCTGCTGGTGGAATTACATTGTGCCTCCCTATAGTCTTGTTATCCCACACTAACTGAAATGCAAATTCTCTGTAACTAATTGGATCTCATTGAGGGTACATGCACAGTGTGTAGTTATATGCAAAAAGGTTTTAAAAAGTAAAATTTTCCTGTAATTACAACTTTTAATTACTATCCAAAACATTAGCATATAGTGCAGGCTTAGAATGGATATATTTGACTCTAACAATTACTTAAAAACATGACTTATGAAATGCTTGATAATGTGCCATTTCAAAAGTTGAAGGAAAAATGTTTAATTGCAGCAATCTATAAATAGGATTTTATTAAAGTCCTATGGAAAAAAGGGGTTTTGCTTGTTTTTAAGTTTAGGATTTAGTATCTTAGGGCCAGTATACTGTAGTGAAGGCATGTTAGTAGTACATTCCTTTTTTGGAACATTTTAAATGTTAAAACATCATAAGCCACTTCCAAAAGCTGTTGCCTTCCCTGCTCCCCCCTATTAGTCTACCTACTGTAAAATGACTTAAGATTTTTTGTGTATTTTTGCAATGTATTGTGATGAGGGGGAGGTATGTCTTTAAAAACTTGGGTGCCATCAGAGCTAGTTGGTTTACTTCTTAATTTACATGTCCATCTTTCACTGTGAATAAATGTGAGAGAGCCAAAGCATGGCCTTTCATGATTCTTTATCCTGAAATGCCTGGGTGGAATCAGAGAATTCCATCAGACTTTCACTCATTGTGAAAGTCATGTTCATCTCTATCATCTTAGTTTTAAATAACTTTGATACAAAAATTTCCAGAGATTTATCCATAATCCCTATAGAGACAGTGGAAAAACTCAAAAGGCAAGTTTTAGTGCCTCATAGGTATTTGTTTCTAGACCTGTGTGCTTAAAACAACACAAATCTCTCACTTGCTAGATAGAAAATTACCCTAAGATCAAGGATCCTACACTTTACATTCTGTGTGTGAGTGAGTGGCAAGTTCAGATCATGTATTTTGGGAATTTCTAGGGGGGTCAAATTTGTATTTTCCAAACATTATTAAAATGAGTGCTAGGAGCTGAACAAAGCACAATATACACGTTTTTGAGTTTTTTTTTTTAATTATTTGTGGTTAAGTGTGTGGATTGTTGTCTTACCTTGTCTTCTTTGTAAAGTACTGGTAGGAGCTAGTTAAGACTTTGACCAAATCCATTTAGCAGGTGCAGTATCAGCTGTTAGTTATGAACAGTTTTGTTCAGCCTCATAAGGATAATGCTGGGTTTTTTTAAGGTGCAACAGTGGCCCTAAAATCTAGGTAATAGTTATGTTGCAGACCTGTTCAGCTAGACCTTGCTATCTGAGAGAGCTCAGTTTGCCTAGTCTGGGTAGCATTTTGTCAGAAGACTGCTGGCTGGGCAGACCAGATTTGGATGTATTAGCTAGTCAGCCTAATAACCCTGTACAGACTGTATTGATTTTCTAGGAGAGAGTTTATGAACTAAATAAACTTGGGGTTGGTGTCTTAATAAACTGCTTCTCTCAGTCTGTCACATTTAGTTACGGAGCTGTGCAGTTTAGGGGGAAAAAAGGCTAATTCTGTTACAGATTGTTCACAGCAGGGTCTCCAAATTAGCCCTTTGTTTTGTAATGCCACCTTGCTTGGGCTCGCTTTGAGCACATTTCTCAGTTTTGCCCTAATGAGTTGCAACACTGATAATGTGGCTGATGATCT